CTAAAACATGCAGGACTGTGGCCTTCCAGGACCAGGACTGGACACCCCGGTACAGCACAGTTCATAGCCGAGGTAATTCAAAGTGCTTCACACAAAACTATAAGAAGACAGATAAAATCAGTCCACAGAACATAAACACAATTATTAATGACTTACATTAAAAGCAAAGAGGCAGATCAAATCCATCCACAAAAACACAAATATAATCAATAATTAGAAGAGGACAGATAGAATACTTTCATATGCACAACCGAACAGAACTGTTGTCAGCCTGGATGTGAACACCGTCAGAGTTGAGGCCCGTCTCACATCTTCTGAAATCCAGTTCCAGATTATAGCTGCATACAGAATCTCTTTGGCAGAATGGACATCATGAAACAACAAAGGATGGACGATGCTGGAAGAGAAATGGGCACACGTCACACATCTGCAACACATAGAGTTAATGAGGTTGTTGATGCTGCTTATGGGATGTTGTTCCACTTTCTGAATGGGTTGATCACATTATCAGACATGTCCGTTCACAGCATCATGTGACCAGCTGCCTGCTGTTTGAAAGGATGTCTAAGATGAAGGAGTTGCTTGTCTACAGCTCTAACTGCCTCTAGCTGCCTCTAGCTGCCATGCCAGCATCCACTATGCTACCAGCCTGTGCTGGTCCTGTGGACGCCTTTGTAGCACAGTTATGACACAAACTTTGAGCTGCATCTGGATTTTTCCAGACTTGGGGAGATGGCAAAATGTACCTTACGCAGACTAAGGCCAGGTCGTGGTTTCCACATGTGGCCTTTAAAAGCTTGCAATGAAGGTGAACACCATCCTGTTCATTAGGTAAACACTGGGCGGTCACACAGGGCTGCCATGGATGTCTCTACAGGCTGCTGTGTCTTTGCACTTTTTATAGAATATAAATCACTGACTGGGCTGTAGCACCGTGTCAGTGATGATTCCTGAGATGAGATGAGCTCGATGGGTGAACATAGCCCAGGAGCAGCCTCCTGTGTTTGGCCTCTGCTGATGGAGAGCATGAACAAATCAAAGCAGCTCCACAGTACTGAACTGACTACCTTAATTAGAGCTCTTTAATGATTAATTCAAAGGTGTGGATGACTTCAGCATGGTTGGCAGCCAGGACTTGGGTGGAGGACACGTAAACCCTGGCTTTAGCAGTAAACAGTTGCTCCTCATCTGCTACAACCAGCAGCATGAAGCTACGAGGTGCCTCAGGGCTTCTTTATGTCTAAAGAACAACCGTGGCTGTGATAAGCTCTGTTAGTCCTAATATACAGCCTGCTGACAGAAGGATGCAGAACTGGATGGCTGTTTACCTGTATCATGACATCTCTGTTGTCCTTGATCTCAACCTGTAATAAAAGCTTTTGCATAACGCAGCTGAGTCTCCTGAGAGGCCTTCAGGCAGGAGCCGATCTGATCTGACCAGATTGTCATTACAGCATGGATGGCTTTACAGAGCTCTACCTTTATAGGAAGCACTTGTTAGTACAGAGATTAGGCAGCTGTATTTCATGGTTGTTCTGGTTCTGTGTTCACTGTACTGATATTTGTATATTTGATATTAAATTGTGAGGAGCTGTAATCTTTACTCCAGATGTCTACAACGTCATCCTGAACAGTCAAAACAACCAGTAGAGACATCTGTCAGAACACTAGCTGCAGGTATGCTGAGGTTATTATAGGTCAGATAAACTGTTGTGCACGATGCTGCTGATGTGATGCTGGCCCTCCAATGCATCTGAACCATGTTAACAAAACTACAGGTGACTGCCGGTAGTGCGATCATGTTAGCAGGTGGTTTATGAAAAATGACCCTGTGGTCTAAATGTACTTAAACTTCAGCCTCAGGCTGCTGTGACGTGGCCGTAGAATTTCATATGTGGCTGCAGTGTCCCAGCCCATCAGAGAAGCTGCCTCCTGCTGAGATAACTACAGATGTGTTGGACATCATTTTACCAGGTCAAACCTTTAATTGAAGATATCTGTCATTACATTTTGAACAGGCAGAATTCCACTTTGAGATATCTACAACATCATTTTAACAAAGTCAAACCTGATTTAGGATATGTAGAAAGAAGCAGGTGTAGGAGTCATGTAGACATCTTGAATATCTTTAACCTGAATAATGCAGAGTCAGAATTTAACTGTAAATATCAGAGACTCAGATTACAACGAGTCATAGTTCATCTGCAGATATCTGCCTCTGACCTGTAAACAGCCCATCCATATGAATGCTAGAAGTACTCTGGATGCTGTCGGTCTTTGGCATGTTGTCCTTCATCAGATAGTTCCTGCAGACACAGAGCAGACACGTAGGAGTGGAGGCATGAAGCCGGAGTCACAGTGGGAAAATGTTTGGCATAAAAATTCTAAATAAATGAATCTGAGACTTTTAGACCCCTATATATATATATATATAGGAAGCCTGTCTGCTTAAATGTTTCTAACAACTCACTTGAACTGTCAGACTCATGTGCTAAAATGTTTTTTTTGTTTTTTCCCTCATTTTTATTGTTTTTTGATATAATTGCTGCACAATGTACTCTTAAACATGCAATTAGGCTTCTTTATGTATAAAGAAATGGGAAAGTTGCATACATTCGTATTTTGGCCTATTTTCAAGCCGAGCTTTGTTGCTGTTGTCCTCCTTTGACTTTGCCAGTTTAGCAAATAAGAGACGATTAAAATAAATGAGCCTAGATTGATCCTGATACATGGTAAGAGGAAGACTGATGGGGCAGGCAAGCAAAAGGGATGATTACAACTGTCCTGGCTTGATGACAAATGGCCCTGTATTGTGCTGCAGAGAGGTAGATTTCTTTTTTTTTATCAGCTTGCATCAAAACACTTCAGTGATACCACACAGCCATCACTACCATCACCAATATCAGCGTTTCCATCGTTCTAGTTCCTGCCCTGCTGTGACCATACAGAGCCTGTGGTCCAGGGAGATAGTGTTGGAGGGAACATGACAGGTCGTGGCCTGACATTGGAATTCTGGGATCATGTGAATCAGGACGTGTAGAAATTTCACAGGTTCTATTCACTGGAGAGCAACTGACAGATCCAACTGTATAGAAGGCCTGGAATGGATGGAGAGCGGTACAGTACATTTATATTACATCTATGTCTGTATAAAAATGTCTAATTTCTACCAATCAGATGAGAACATGTGATCACACACAGTGTCTCCACATGTGGAAACTTCTGCTCTGCTCTCGATCTCATGGAGTAGCGGCTGGAACATTGTACGCTGTTTTTTCTTCTTTTCCCCCACAACCCCAGTGAGGATTAAGCTGTGTCCAGATAATGGATGATGGACGGATGGATGAATGGATGGATGGATGGATGGATGGATGGATGGATGGATGGATGGATGGATGGATGGATGGATGGACAGACAGATGGAAGGAAGGAAGGAAGGAAGGAAGGATGGATGGATGGATGGATGGATGGATGGATGGATGATGGATAGACGGTTGGATGATGGATGGATGGTTGGATGGATGGATGGATGGATGGATGGATGGATGGATGGATGGATGATGGATGGATGATGGATGGACGGATGGATGGATGGATGGATGGATGGATGGATGGATGGATGGATGGATGGATGGATGGATGATGTTTTCAGTGTGGTAGGTTGCTGCCTTGAGGTTGATGATTTTATAAACAGTAGTATATAGATAGCTCAACGGGTGGAGACAGTAGTGTGATGTGCACAGCCAGTGGCAGGCTCTTCCCTGCCGTCTACATCCAGTGGGTCAGAATACTGACCAACAGAACGTCCACTTGTTCTTCTGTTTGATCCCTTTGGTGTGAATGGAGTGGTTGAAGCCAGATGAGCATGTTGTCATTGCTACAGAGAGAAATGATGCCGATCATGCATGTTGAGGAAGCTTGGTGAAAATACAGACACAGAAACTGAATGTAAATACGTTGTTGGGACTCAGGAGAAGGCCTGTCCTGAAGCTGGACCAACACGGGTTGGGCTGCTAAACTAACTTACATTCTATGATTTCATTAGCAGACGCTTTCATCCAGAGCGACGTACATCTGAGAGTAGATCACATTCATGCACCAATGGCGACAGAGCTGCCATGCGAGGTGCTGCCTGTCATCAGGAGCACCTTCGGGTTCGGTGTCTTGCCCAAGAACACTTGGACTGTGGAGGGATCAGAGGATCATGTATGAGTCCTTCATTCATTCTATGTGTGGCAGGAATGATCAATTAAATGTTATTTTAACCAAAATAGTAATTATTTGGGGGGGAAAGAACAGATTTATTGTATTTTATTTAGTTTTTTTAGCCTTTATTTAACCGGGTCGGTCCTGTTGAGATACTACGAGCTGCTTTTCCAGGGCAGCCTGGCCAAGGCCTGAGAGCACCCCCCAACAGGACAGAAGGAAATCAGAAAATTGCCAAAACTTGATATTTTCACCTTCTCTTAATCTAAACAGCCGGTTAAAAAGGGCTCAGCCTTGTTCCAGTGAGTCAGTAGAGACTGAAGTCATGGTACCAGTTCTGAACCTTCTCAGCCTGCAGCTCTACCAAATGTGATGCAGCAGAATTAAAGCTGAACCCGTTTTCATCATAGCTGGACCAGGCAGCTTCTCAGCTGCCTTCAAGACGTACAAAAAACACAGC